GGGAGTGCATGGTCACACACACAGCTCTCCTCCACAGTCTGGGAGTGCATGGTCACACACAGCTCTCCCTGACAGTCTGGGAGTGCATGGTCACAAACACAGCTCTCCCCCACAGTCTGGGAGTGCATGGTCACACACACAGCTCTCTCCTACAGTCTGGGAGTGCATGGTCACACACACAGCTCTCCCTGACAGTCTGGGAGTGCAGGGTCACACACACAGGGTCACACACACAGGGTCACACACACAGCTCTCCCCCACAGTCTCCAAGTGCACTGTGCTCCATTAGTGGATTGCAATCGATTTTCTTATGTTCAATTCCTGCTCTGTTCTAGAGATAAATTTAGCTTGATCATTTTGCACACTGCTAGATTTGGTTAACATCTCAGAATCTGACATTTGTATTGGTAAGATTGTATCTTTTTATCTTTTCATTAGATATGTTCATTTTTTTCTATTTTCAAATTGGTTATGATAAGTTGTTTCTAGTATTTTAATGTATCTCACTCTATCTGGTAGCTGCAGACAATGCTATCTTTGTGTCACATTCTTTACAAATGCCCTGCTTTATTGTTCTTGTCCCTGCCTCCCAGACTCCCCAGCGGTTTCCTTCCTTTGACCAATTCCTACTGAGTTACTGTGTCTCCCCTTGTCTCTTATTCTCTCCTCTGAACTTTTTCTTCACTCCCTTTGGCATGGCTCTTTTCTTTTTGTTCTCTACTAAGGTGATTCACACGTTGTTAACTTTTAACCTTTTTACTGTGTTATTTAAGGACAAAAATTTTCCTCTTGTGTAATATTTTACCCTTGATTCCTAATTACTTTCACCTGAAATCACAGACAGTTGCATGTTAATTGAGTCTTCTTAATTAAAATTGTGTACAAAGCAGGTTCATATTAGACACGCTGGGTATGATTTCATCCCTGCATCATGGAACTCGGCAGCATCTGTCAACCGTGCTGTGTCAGGAGGTCCCCTAAGAAGTTATGTTCCAGCTTGGTTTCTGAATTTGGTGAGAGAGAAAGGCAGGGGTGGGGGGGGAAGTCGGAAGAGAGAGCTTGTGGGAAAAAAATAAACATTCCTATAGATCCAGATATTAATTTTGGGAGGGAAATATGGCATTGTTACAAATTTCCTCTCCACAGCAGCTTACATCAACTGTTTTGAATTCATACAGCCATAAAATCAGCTCATGTTGACACATTCCATTTATAGCTTATGAAATAGTATACACTGAGCAAGCAGCTGCCTTTTAATCACTTTCTTCTCACAAACATATGCTGTGTGTGTGTGTGTGTGTGTGTGTGTTTGATAATATTTTCAGAAAAGAAATGGAAATAGTCCAGTAAACTGTAAAACAAAAGTTTGCTTTATCAAGTCTAGCTCCACTGACAGGATGACATTCATCGATTTTCTCCTGAGGGACCTTCCATTTCCAGACAACCCCCTCTAGTTTATTAGTGTCCATCTGACATGGTTTTCAGTTGTATTATTAGTCCCAAAAAACCATTCATATATGTCGGGGAGAGAAATACTCAAAATGGTGCATCTATTTCCATGTAACATATGCTCACATATTTGTGTAAACAAAACCATCTAAGAAATTGTATTAAAATCTTCTGACAATGAACAATATAAAGAAGCTCCACTTTGAATTTTTTTCCTATCTATACTTGTGATAGAATTGAAAACAAGAAGTTAGAATTTAGAATCCTATGCCCTGCTTTAGTTGGTCACAATAAACGTGCACCTGAAACGCAGATGTCTGAGATCTAAGTATGACAGAGCCATCCATTTCTCAGCAAAGCCTGGGGAACTATGTTATTTGGCGATTAGTTGTTCTGGAGGTGTTAGATTGGATCTACAAGTTCAGACGTGTTCCATATAAAGCAAAGAATACCCATGTGGAAAAGAATGCTTGTCTGTAACAAGAACACATATGCTTAATCAAAAAGCATGAGTTTGAACATAGCCTAGAAATCACCGTCTCTGAAAGTTAGAGGGAAAACAGAGACATTTTTAAATGTTCTGTAGACTTAATACTATCTTCTAGCTGAAAGACACATTTGCCTTTACAGTTACCCTAAATAGCAAGTTTTATTCCTGGGAATAAATGGGGGGAAATTCTATAAATTCTGGAGGGTCTTTTTCTTTCTTTTTGTTTTGGCAGAGTGGGGTTCTGTTTTCACCAGTATCACTTAAAATTGGACATTTTTCTTCAGAAGCCAACCCTGTAGCAAGGCCTGCATCCATATATACTCCTTTAAAAGAAAGTTGTTGGATGTGTTAAGTGAGATGGTGGGACAGTATACCTTTTCTGGGAGAGTGTGCGTTATTGTACGCTGCAGTCATGGTGTGTAGAAGACACATGTGTGGTGCTGGGTACTCAGCCCTGGCGTATGGAGATAGCAAGCAGTGGGAAAGGAATGTGAGGATACAGATAGGTCTCTGTAGTTGCTGCCAGTTATTCCTGATGTTGTCTTAAGCTTTTGTCCCCAATCGTTAGCAAATGTACAGGAGTCCTCTTGTGTGCTGTGCACCTGTAACATGTTTGAGACACACCATGAAAAGGGAATGGAGAGACCTGCCCTCTCCTGCATCGGCACTGGAAGAGTACCAGCCTCCCTTGTTTCCCCAGGAACAGGGATGGTAAGGTTGACTAGAGGGATGGGTCTAGCCTTTGAACACAAAACCAGGGAACAGCTGCAAGCCCCAGGGAAGAGCAGGGCAGAAGCTGAGCTTCTTGCTCCTGACATCAACAGCAATGGAAACGGTTAGACCTGAGAATCATGAAAAGAAAGACCAAATCCATAAGTGCCCAATGAAAGCAAGCTGTATTTTCAGGTGTACCAGGACTGGCCAGCCGGCTGTCTCATCCTAAGTCAGGATTTGAGAGAGCAGCCAGTGCTGGCCTCTTGAGGTCCCTTTTAGAGCAGAGATGGGTGTTCACAGGGGCGAGAGAGTTGGCTGTTATACACTGTTAGAAATATACGATGAGAGGAAAGGAACAAAGAGGAGGATTTAGTGTAGGCTGAAAAACTTGTTTTACAGTTTACATCAGATCTAAAAAAACAGGAGCTTATCTTCAATTACAAATAGCAAGCCTTAATTTTCAAGGACTTAACACAGGGCAAAAAGGAACTTATTCTTAATTGTCTTAACTGCATACAGAAACCATAACCTGCAAGGTATATTGTTCCTGTTTTGCTCTCACAGAAACTTCTTTTTTAAGTAGGATATGATAAGGGATTTCAAGCCATCATCTCAGTGCCAATTCTGGGTAAATGATAAATGCCAGAATTCACATTCATAAATAAATACATCTGAGAGCTGGGGAGTGCATAAAGAGTGAAAATTCTGGTACGTTGAGGGACGCCTCCCCATACCAGAGAAGCTAGTGTTGCTGGTTTTGTGCCTCACTGGGTATATTTTCTGAGTTTAGGAATTGCCTGATAATCATTCTTGCCACTGGTTGAGAACTCTGTAGCAGTGAGAGAAATCGGGGGGGGGGGGGGGGGGGGGGAGCTTGTTGATGGCTGTGTGGACTTACACCTCTAAGTGGAGAGCAGATGTAGAGCGTGTTTCCTCACAAGGCATCTGCGGAGAGCCAGAGCAGCTCAAGAAGCCTGCTCAAAAGGCAGAGTGCCTTTCTTCCGGTTGGACTGTTGAGGAATCAGGTCATCCTATAGTGAAGGACCTGCAACACAGTGTGAATCCTCCTTAAAGTTTCCCCTAAGCTGTCACTCAACAGCCCAGAGACCCATGCTCAGGAAGAGGTCAGGACACCAAAACAGAACATAGAAAACAGTGAAGCACAACATAACTGAAGATTCCCTGCTGTCCCACAAGGAGTTATACAGTGCTCTCGGGAGAAAACTACATTAAAGCCGGGAAACAACAGGAAACACAGTGAAGGTCATGCCCTTGGGGTACTTGAAGTCAGGTGCTGCCTGAGTCCTACGAAGCATCCCAACTTCAAACACACCTTGGCTCATTAACTACTGAACCAGAGTGTTGAGTCCTTCCATTGCGTCTGCCTGACAGAAGAAAGGTACAGGCCTCTCTGGGGGAAAAAAATAATCCTAATTTCAATCACCGTGGTGTCCCTATTACAATAAGTAAAACAAGAAAAGAGTTGGGAGAAAATGACTAAGAAACCAGAAGGCACAAAATAGAAAAAAAAATCCCTAGATTACATCTTTGTTGGAACTAGCCAACCAGTACTTTAAGATAACTACTGGGAAAATAACCCTCCCTTCTGCCATCTTCTGGTAGTTTGCCAAAATAATAAACACAAAGGGGAAAAAAAGAAAGGAATCCACACTGGTTCTCTGCCTAGAAGCATCAAGATGCGTCTTCATAAAGAATTATCTGAGCTTGCCTGCCTCATTTTCAAGTTAGCAAAGCAGTGAGAGTTTTGCCATCAGGCATACCACGCAGCCCATCTCCAGGGATACTCTTGACAGTGGTCTTTGTGATGGTGATGTGTAGAATACGTCGGGGCACTTGCAGAACTCTCCATACATGGCCACTGTCTATTTTGTCTTTTCTCTGATAATACTTACATATTAGCTCCTTGTTCCTGAGGAAAGCCTCCCCAATAGGGAAGGTAAGTGCCTTCGACAGGGGTGTTCCTGGGCCTCCATGCACTGTTATATCACAAAGCATCCTGATAACCTGAACATTTCTGTAAAGAGAAAGTAAAGCAATTGCGAGCTAACTGCTAAATAAAATGAATTTTAAATGTGTTTATTATAGATAGATGGAAAAGATGCAGCCTGCTATTTCTTAAGCTATTTATCAGTGGAAAATCTACTCACAAATGTAATTAATGACTTGAAAATTAGAATTGCTTTTTAAAGCCTGGGACACTTTCAACCTGAAACACTCCTGAGACCTCTTATGACACATGCAAAAAAATAAGAAAAGAGCACATTGTAAACAATTTGCTCTCTTCTTTCAAAGTGAAAGTTTGAGCTGTTATTTGATATACCACTCATGTTATTGCCAAAAGCCAACTTCTGTTCATGAGCCATCATTTTTGATATATTTGAATGTGTGTATGTATGTATGTGTTATAAATTTGAGAGCCAATAAAATCTAAAGAGAATTTTTACTATTTTTTTCAGGTAGGGTGTGATTATATTTGTATAGTTAAAATATTTTTCAAATACCATAAAACAATCAGCTCCTAAGAAATCAGTTTGCAGCCATTTATTCCTTAGGAAAAGTAAAAAGTTGGCCTCATTTAAATCAATATAGAGAGCATTTAGCTTAATGACACAGATTAAAAAAAACAAAACCTCCCAGGATACAAAGTCATCGGCATTAAGCCAGAACCTCAGGAATTGTGCTTCCCAAAACAAAACAGCCATAAAATAAGACTTAATATGAAACAGAACTTTTAATCTCACCTTGGAAAATTCCAGAATCCTCAACTACCTTTATTTGAAAAATGAAAGTTTTCTTTGTGTGTTTGCATTTATGCAGGTTCCCGTGTGTGTGCACATGTGGAGGCCAACCTCAAGGGTCCTTTTCTAGGCACCATCCTTCTTGTCCTTTTGAGACAGGGTCTCACTGGAGCTACCCATTAGGCTAGGCTGCCTGGCCAGCAAGCCCCCAGGTGGACACTTGTCTCTGCCTCCATGGTGATAGCGTTTACAGCACTGTAACCAGCTCTCTACATGGAGCTCAAACTCCTGAACTCAAGCTTATGCAGCAGCTCAACAACTGACCTATTTCCCCAAAGACTTTATTTTTCACATAAAGGAACTGAAAAGCTAAATGTTTCATTGTTTTCTTTTTTGAAGAAAAAAATAACTCTGATGTGTTTTTATTCTTTCATCCTTAGACTTTAAATGAATCCTAGTGCCTTAGGTATATCTCAGGCCAATTAACTTAAAATCTCTGGAGATGAATCCCATCTTCATTAGGTTCCTGTTGCTGTTGCAAAGCAGCATGATCTAAAGCAACTTGGGGAAGAAATGGTTTATTATACTTCCAGGTAACAGTTCATCCCTGGAGGGGAAATCAGGGCAAAAACATAAGCAAGGCAGAAACTTGGAGACAGGAACTGATACAGAGGCAATGGAAGGGTGCTTCTTACTGGCCTGTTTGCATGACTTGCTCAGCCTGCTTTCTTATGCAGTCTAGGACACCTACCCCCCTAGGGATAGAACCACCCCACAGTGAGCAGAGCCTTTTCACATCAATCATCAATCAAGAAAATATCCCACAGGATTGTTCACCAGCCATCTTATGAAGGCTTTTTCTTAGTTGAGGTTTACTACCTCTCAGATGACTCTAGCTTGTGTCAAGCTGAGAAAACACTAGCCAGCACGGGTCCCCAAATCAGTATTGTTTAAAGCTCCCTGAGTGACTCCAGGGGTCAGGCAGCGCAGCAGGGTTGGTATACACTACTCTCCAAGCATGCAGGACTTGGGACTGTAAGACAGAACAGAACTGTGCAGTCAGAGTGGAAAAGGACCTTGAAGATCCTTTTTTAATCCTCTGACTTTCAGGTGGTAACATGTGAGTTATTATGAAGGATGAAATTCATCAGCAGGAATGCGATGTTATTTATAAAGAGGTCATCAGCGACTGATCTTACATGAAGATGTTGCTAACTCTAGACTGCTGTAAGAGGCACACTGTAGGTGCACTTTATAGTATATGAGAGTTTTCTATTTGTTTTGATTAGAAAACAGGAATTTAATTAAAACTGCAGTACAAATTTGAGAAATTTGTAAATTCCCAAATTACAGTTTAGTGTGTATACTGAAAACATCACACTGAGAGAAAATTTCATGGTATTTGAGAAATATAAGTTCATTATATGATTATTATTATGTTATTAATATTATAACTTATTATAAGTTATTAATTTTACTTTTTCTTTTTTGTATGAAACATCATGTTTTGTGTATTTTTAAGTTTTGAATTTTTTGCATTTTTATTAAACATAATCTTTGATCATTTCTTACATGTATGTATGCAATGCCCTCTAATTGCTTTGTCTCCCCATCCCCTCATACCTTTCTCCCCCGTCAGCCCTTCTATCTCTCCATAAATCTCTCTCCCACTTTCTGCTTGTTTTGTGATCCACTGACTTTAACCAGCGACATCCACATAAGCCTGGGATGGAGCCTTGCACTGGGGCATAGGAGACTCACCAGTGGCCCCACCATGGAAAGTCCTGACTCCTCCTCCAGCATCCACCCACACCCAACAGTTCCCCGTGATCTCCCGGCCCACCATGTTCACAGAATGAAGGCAGGCCTTGTATTAAGTAAGCCCAGCAGCCCAGCTGCTATGAGTCCATGACTGCATTCGCCATGTCATGTCCAGAAGATAGCAGAAAAGGAGGTAGAAAGACCTACATACGAGCCAGATGATAGGAGGACGCGTGTGAAATGCTGTCTTCGGTGCAGACACTGCACTTTTGAAATCTGTAGTAAGGAACTAAGTGTGTTAAATGCTATTAAGGTAATCACAGAAGAGAAAAAGAATGCCCAAAAGAAAAGTCACAAGTGTCTCGAGGAAGGGAAATCTCAACTCTTTTCCTCTGCAGATGTGAGAGATGCACACAGCTGCAGATGCTTGCGCATTTCAGCTCACTGTGCAGCTAATGGAGCTGCTAACGTGCTTTACACTGCTGTGCTACAGCTGTTCCTCTTGATCCCACAGTGCCGGCGACACTGACTTCTGGACTACAGCAGAATGCTAAAGGAGGCATACACTCACACATTTTAACACCTATTAGGGTACGAGTTTATTACATTGTGCAGGATAGTATGGAAATGTTTTAAAATTCATAGTGGAATTTCTCAGTGAAACTCAAACAGCTAAACACTTTGAAACTCTTTGCCTGGCCCTATATCTACCTTGTGTTAACAGCTTACAGTTTAATTCACACAAAAATAAAATGTTAGGTGCAGAAAGTCTTTGCAGATTTTCTGGAAGTAAAATGGTTTTTTATTAGCAAAGTATTCCCTTACATTATGCTTTTAAGTTTCCTAAGGTTGTACTGTAACAATGATTAGATTAACAAGTAATAAATAGCATGATTTGGAGAAAATGACTGTTTGGGTAATATAAAAGCTACAGTACTGCTACCAATTAAAGTATATATTCTGCATTTCTGTTGTGCTGAAATATTTTAGAAGTAGACTGAGCAGAATGCAAGGTTATGGGTAAATACAGGTTTCATGTTATAATTTTAAAAAATTTTTCAAGACATAGTTTCTCTGTGTAGCCCTGGCTGCCCTGGAACTCACAGAGATCCACCTTCCTCTGCCTCCCAAGTGCCGAGATTAAAGGCGTGCGCCGCCACCGCCTGGCTTTTTATGTTATGATTTGAAAATATTTACTTTACGTACCATCTCATCTGCAATCCTACCTTTAAACACACCACATCCTGACCAAAGAAAAGATTGATAGAGTCCATTAAGACTGGTTTTCTTTTATTAATTTTTCTAATCTAAAAAAGACTAATTTCTCAAAATGTTCCACAAAGAATTGAAATTACTTGAAATCTTGAATTCATTCTGGAATAGCTATTATTTTATTTATTTTAGTCCATAATCTTTATATAGTATGCCCTAGGAGTTCACACACGTCAAAAGACAGTAGGTAAGTAAATTAACTTTAAAAGAAAATTATATACAAAACCCAGTAGCTCTGTATGAGGTTTTCAAGCTTCCGTTGGTGATACATCTGTCAACTGAGCACTACTCTGTCAAGAACTCAAGGACATAACGAAGCAATAGAGCTTTTACCCAAACTATGAAAAGAAAAGCAACCTCTCACACAAGTGGAAATGTGGCCTCATAGACCAAGTTACCATTGATTAGCAGAGTCTGACTTTCCTTGATATTTCCTGTTAGTGTGGAATTTACAACACTGAACTAGTATCCAAAAATTACTACACACATCAAAAAAATTGAAAATATATTCCTTTACTGTTTCTGACCAACTACGTAGATTATAAAGCCATGTGTTACATGGTAATGCTTGGGGTGAATTTTCCACCGTTCTAGTATTTTATATACGAAGGATTACATAAATTATTTTTATTTAAAGTAGATCTCACTGCTTTGATGATGCCTTCTGTAAGCCGTGATCTCTAAGATGGTTTTGTCCAATGAGGAGCATTAGTGATAATTTAACCTCCCATGAGCCATTTTCCGTCCATTTATTCATCTCGTTGAGGAAGGACTGGCAGACAGCTGACCACTCCAGTGTTTCCAGAGGTCTGCTTATTCATCGTCACTGCTCACCAGTGCTGCTGAGGTGCCAGCACTGCTGAACACTGACACATCCGACCACACAGAAGCACGCAGGGTAGTCCCAGACGTTTGTGGCAACACCTTTGGGAGCAGCTAAGGCCACAGATAGGTTAGAGTATGAACTAAGATTGCTTGTTCTTTAAATGCCACAAGGACTTTTAAATATAGCCTGAGTGTGTGTGTGTGTGTGTGTGTGTGTGTGTGTGTGTGTGTGTGCATGCACGTGTGTGAGCACACACACAGGATAAACATAATGATTTGAAAAATAATTAATAATTATTTTCCCAAAGAGCAATGTTTGGCCTATTTTTGCATGAGATGCCACAATACACAATACTGATATCTTTTTTGTAGTTTT